TTGCTCGTCCTCCTCGCAACCTCGCTCCATCTCCTCGGCATCTCCGAAACTCCGACACTTATACCCGGGTGAAGAAGAAACATCTCCGATTGCAAAGCTGCGACCCCAAGTGTCCTTGTTTATCGGGTATGCAGTACCCGTCGGGTATCTGTTACCCGACCGATGCCCGACGGGTACGGGGATGGGCAAGAATCTATACCCGAGACAGTTAACGGGGACGGGGACAGGATGATTTCTCCGTAGCGGGGAAGAGAACGTTCCGGCGATACCCGACGAGTATATCCCCGTTGCCATCCTTACACGGACCCAGTATTTGCGCAATTAATGTCCTCTTTGAGAGGTCGATCTCTTTCCTAGTTGGGCTCCTCCTACAGCTAGTCAGCTACCCGTTACCATATTGCAGTAGTAATAGACAGTGACGGTGAAGATATGACAGTAGTTGACAGCATAATACTATATCATACATGGTATTCGGTAACCAAATTTTGGATTGCGTAAGAGCATCTTCGAGAGTTTCCAAAACTCACGTCCAATCTATATTTTTTTAGTAAAATTAAAAAAAAATTGCTCTCTAAAACTTCCTATCTCAACTTCCAACTTTTCTACACTTGAGAAAATTGATCCAATCACGCGGAAATATATGCGCGTATCGAAGGATGTGGTAAGAATAAAAGAGTGGACAAGGTTTCTAATGCAAATATATAAGAGAGAGAAAGAAAGTATAAAATTGGTTGCACTGGTTTAGAAATAATTTGGAATTCCTAATGCAAAATTTGTGTTCTGTATTCTAGGAGCGGGGCTTTGGAAGGAAACCAATAAATATGCTCCCAACTTTTTTAGCTACTTGGAAAACTCCTTGATTTACCAATTAATTTTTGGAGACTATTGAAGATGCTCTAATGCAAGTAATTGGAAATTCGTTCGAAATTGCTATATCACTCTAAAAATTGTTACCGAAATTTTGGGTACCCAATAATTCAGGTTCATGTTTTACCTGAAATTGACAAAACAAACAATTTTAACAGAATGCAAGTAGCATTTTAAAGCAATAAACAATAATGCTTCAAATCACACCATGTCTTCATATCAATAAACGACAAAACAATTATCAAACTAGCATAGATCTACATTGAGTCATATCAAATAATAGATTTACACTACACTGAACCACTATATTAGAAATAGAAGAGCAAAGATTTGAGATATTTCAGGTCGGAACCTCCTATTACCGCCAGTTTTGGCCTTCGGTGGTGAAATATCAATGGTGATGGTGGTTTGACAGCGGTATAGTCAACACCGGTTTATAGCATGATCTGGCGATGATGAGCATTTGATCACCACCGGTCAGAGTTACAGTCCGACTGACCGTTTACCGAGCTTGGAACACATCCCCCGTGGCCACCCCTCCCGCATCCAGGAGGTAAGCGACAATTCCCCATCACCATTGGAGGTTGCCGGAGTCGTCCAGGACGGGGCGTACCTGCTCGACGGTGGCGACGGGCGGGAGCTCGAGTGTAAGAACCAGCAATAGATTGGAGGATTGGGGAAACAAGGAATCGGGGTAGGCAGCACGAAGGAATTTGGGGTAGGCAGCAGCCGAAAGAACGAGGACGGCTCACGGTCGAGTTCCAGAGTTTGTTTTAGGTTTTGGTTCTTACATGATACTCTCCCCTTTCCTCTCTTGCCTATTTCTATTACATCTGACGAGCCACTCTGGGCCGGCGGTGCGAGTACTGGGCCTGCGGGTCCTTCTACTCTTGGGCGCGGACGACTCGGCCCAGGAGGACGCGCCTTCAGCTTCGGCCTGCTCTTGGACATCATCTGTCAGCTGGTTGCTGACATTCCCCTGCTCTTCAGAACCGGCGTGCCCCCATGTTGGTGCTCGGGGGAACTGTTGATGCAGGGTGACGATTGGCTCCCAGGTAGCAAGCTCCGGCGGCATGTGGGACCACTGGATGAGGCCTTGTTCAGTTGGGTGAAGGCCGTCGGTCCAGCGGCGCTGCAACACTTTCACAGGAACTTGATAAGTCTGCAAGTCAGAAACCACAAGGGGTGAAACTTGTTGAGATCCAGCTGAGCTCTTAAGCTGGGAGACATGGAAGACAGGATGGATAGCGGCCTGTGGAGGCAGCTCCAGTTTGTAAGCCACTTGACCAATCTTCTGCAAGATTTTGAAGGGCCCGAAAAACTTGAATGACATCTTGTTGTTCGCCCGACGAGCCAGAGAAGTTTGCACATAGGGTTGCAGTTTAAGGAATACTTGGTCACCCACGGCAAACGAGCGCTCAGAACGACCCTTATCAGCCTATCGTTTCATCTGGGCTTGGGCGCGAGCCAAATGTTGCTTGACCAGATTATGCATCAATTCACGGTCTTCGAGCCACTGATGGAGATCAGGAACTGGAGCAGCACCTGCGAGATCATAACCCAGATGGCGAGGCGGGAAACCATACAGTACCTCAAAAGGTGACCGCCCGAGAGCTGAATGAGTAGAAGTATTGAACCAGTACTCAGCCATGAGATCCAATGACTCCAGGATGAAGGGCAGGCATGCACAAAGCAACGAAGGAACGTCTCAATGCACTGGTTCACACGCTCAGTTTGGCCGTCAGTCTGCGGGTGATAGGAAGAACTGAAACGCAGCTCGGAACCAGCAGACTTGAAGAGCAATTGCCACAACTTGCTAGTAAATATCCGGTCCCGGTCAGAAATAATGACCCTAGGCATGCCGTGAAGACAATAAATCTGATCCATGAACAACTTGGCCACAGAGGCAGCTGTGAACGGATGCTTTAGTGGAACAAAGTGAGAAAACTTGAGAAATTTGTCCACCACAACCCAGAGAGCATTGAAAGAGCCAGAAGGAGGAAGACACTCAATAAAATCCATTGTAATCACTTCGAATGATGTAGCAGGAATGGGGAGGGGCTGCAGCAAACCAGGGTAGCGATTGCGGTCAGGCTTAGCCTGGAGGCATGTTGCACAATTCTGAACAAACGCCCACACATCAGATTTCAATCCGGGCCAGAAGAAGAGCTGCTTGACTCAGGCATAAGTAACAGGTGCCCTAGAATGGCCTCCAATCGGGCTAGCATGGAGAGCCTGGAGAACCTTAGCCTGCACCGACCTGTTGCCGCCGAGCCAAATTCGACCCTTGTAACGAATCACTCCCTGGACCAAGGTATAAGGTGGCCGGGCATCAGGTTGTATAGCTAACTGAGACAGCAGAGCCAAAGAAGCAGAATTGGAGTCATAACCATCAACCACATCCGAAAGCCAATCGATACAGCAGAGACCGCGGCGAGCACATCAGTATGACTACGCCGAGACAGGGCATCAGCCGCCCCATTGTCAGAGCCTTTCCTGTAAATCACCTTATACTGCAACCCAAGGAGATGAGCAAAAACCTTCTGCTGCCAGGCTGTGTGCAAGCACTGCTCGTTGAGAACTTGTGATGCACCAAACTGTGGTGGTCTGTATGGATGAAAAAATCAGCTTGCAGTAAATAGTGCCTCCAATGGTCGACAGCCATAAGGATGGCCAAGTACTCCTTCTCGTACACATACAGACCTTGGTTCCGAGGGCTCAGGGCCTTGCTTAGGAAGGCAATGGGGTGCCCCTTCTGCTGTAGCACGGCGCCAACTCCAGTGCTGGAAGCGTCAGTCTCGATGTGAAATGGTTGAGAGAAATCAGGTAACGCCAGAACTGGAGCTGAGCAAAGTGCTTGTTTGAGCAGGTTGAAGGCCTGCTGATGATCATCTGTCCACACAAAGTATTGGTCCTTCTTGAGCAGATCAGTTAAAGGCTTGGCGATGATGCCAAAATGTTGCACGAATTTTCAGTAATAGCCTGTGAGCCCCAAGAATCCCCGCAGAGCCTTGACTGATGATGGGACCGGCCAATCCATGACCGCCTGGATCTTAGCAGGATCAGTAGAAAGGCCATCACCACTTATCACATGTCCCAGGTAATGAATAGACCGACGAGCAAATGTACACTTAGAAAGTTTCAATTGCCACTGATCCTGGCGCAGCCACTGGAGGACTTGGCGAAGGTGATCAATGTGTGCTTACAGAGTGGGACTGTACACAAGGATGTCATCAAAGAAGACGTTAACAGACTTCCTTAATCCAGGCGCCAAAGTGATGTTCATTGCTCATTGGAAGGTACCCGATGCGCCAATAAGGTCAAAAGCCATGACAGTGAACTCATACTGGGCTAAGTGGGTTTGGAACGCCGTTTTGTGTTCTTCACCAGGCTGAAGCAAAATCTGATGAAAACCGGCCCGCAAATCTAGAATCGAGAACCACTTGGCGTTAGCAAGTTCATCCATTAACTGATCAAACACTAGCATTAGAAATTTGGATTTCCTAGTCATGGCATTGAGATGGCGGAAAACGACACAGAATCTGTACGAGCCATCTTTCTTCCGTACAAGGAGCACAGGAGATGAAAATGAGCTGGAACTCGGGCAGATCAAACCCTGAGAGAGCATCTCTTGGACTTGACGCTCGATCTCGTCTTTCAGCTTCGGAGGATACCGGTAGGGTCTGATGAAAACAGGTTGAGCTCCAGGAACGAGCGGGATCTCATGATTGCACGCCCAAGATGGAGGAAGAGATGTTAGTGGCCTAAAAACATCCTCAAACTCCTGCAGACCTTGAATGTCCGGCAGCAGAGCAGACACATCATCAGGTGCTATACCAGAAGGGCTAACCGCTTCAATGTGAAGCAGGAGCTGGTCAGGAAGATCCTCGGTCACATCCTGCAATATCTGAGTTTTGCCCTCATATGGAATTGCCAACCATTTCTAAAGCCAGTGAATGTGCATGGGGCTAAATGACTCAAGCCAATCCATGCCGATGACAACATCAAACACCTCGAGGGGCAGGACCTTGAAGTCTGACTGGAATGTGCACGGACCAACAGACCAGGAAACTTGACGAAGGAGCTGAGTACACTGGAGAATTCCCCCTCCTGCAATTTGAACTGCTACAGACATGGGTATGATAGAAACAGCAGGAATCCTTGGCACTAGAGCTGAGTTAATGAAAGATGATGAACTGCCCGAATCCACAAGAATTTGCACCGGAATATCAGCAATGGAGCCCACCAAGCGAACTGTACGCACAGCAGGGGGAACCAGAAACAACTGCTTTAAAAATTGCCAGACAGACCTGCTCAGTGATTTCAGTGGTGTCGGACTCCTCTGGCTCTTCCTCGTCAGGACAGAAACCCCAGAAAGCCTCAACAGTGTGAAGGACCTCAGGAGCACACTGATGATCCTTGCTCCATTTGGCATTGCATTTGTAACACAGACCCAATGCCCGGCGATAGGATTTGATCGCTGCCAGCTTGGAATCAGTGGACGGAGCCGTTGCTGCAGGAGGCTTCTCAGCACAGGGCAAAGCCGGCGACGGCGATGGCAACGGGCTGCAACCAATTGCTTAGAAGATGACCAATCACCAGCTCTTGATGAACGGGCCAGCGGCGCCGGGTTCGCCTCTTCCTGTAACATAGCAAGAGTGCAGGCAGTATCCAAATTGGGAGGCCACAATACAAGTACGATAGCCTTGATATCAGGACGAAGACCATCGATAAATCTCATAGTGAAGTACATGGGATTTGTATTAGAGGAATAAGCCGCCAGGCGCCAGCTGGTCGACTAATTCGGTGAATTCGGCGATATAATCAGCCACGGTGGAGGTTTGCTTGACATGGAATAATTGGCGGATGAGGAGTTCCTTCTGAACGCGGTCGAAACGATAGTGGAGGAGATGACAAAAACCCGGCCAATCAGAGAAATCAAGGTTGGACTCAATGGACTGAAACCAGCGCGCAGGAGCTTTGTCGAGATGTTGCTTAGCAACGCGGATCCAGATGGTACTGGGGACACTATAAATGTCGAAGTAATCCTCACACAATGATCACCAGAGGCGAGGGTTGTCCCCATCGAAGCGAGGGAAGGATAGCTTGGGAAGGCGACCGGTATGCTGTGGAGTGGTGGGTTGAGCGGTAACGAACTGGTCTGGGGGTCGTTGATGCTGTGGAGATATGAGACGAGGCGGCGGGTGGTTGGGTTGGCTGTTTGATGGCCGGAGAGTTGGGCGGAGGTGGTTTCGGGTTAAGGAACACCGGCGGAGCAGTATAAAGAAGCGTGGGAGGACACGTACCCTTTGCCAGGACGTGTGTCCAGGCCATGACGACCCCGGAGCCCACATCCGGTGTAGTCGATTCGACGGGCGGTTTGGCGGTGAGGCCAGTCGAAGACGGCGCGGCCGCCGTAGGTGATGCCGCGAAAATCCCGGGGTGGTGCGCCATTGCATCGAACACCTGGCGGTCACGCGGGTTGATGAACTTCTGGACCTCCATCTTGATGTCGCCCAGAACACCCTCCATGTCGGGGCGCCACGCGATGAGGTCCGCGGTCGCGTGCTCGAGCGCGGCGACGCGGGCGTCCTTGGCGTCGGTGACCCTGACGGCCTCCAGATCTGCGATGCGCTAGGCGTAGTCGGCGTCGCGGTCGACATAGTTGGCTTCCAGGGACGCGAGGCGCTGCTCGACGGTCGCGGCGATGGGATTGACGCGGATCGACTCCAGCCCGACGACGCGCTCCTGCAGCGTCATGGTGGCGGCCGCCATCTCGGTGAAGCGCGACTCGATGGCGGCGGCGTGGGTGCCGAACTCGCGGTCCCGACCGGTGAAGTGGGTGTTGATCTTGTCGAAGCAATGGTTCATGGTGTCGAGGACGAGCTGCAGAGCCGGAACATGGCGCCTCGAGCTCGTTGTAGCCAGGTAAAATGGTGCTGGTCCAGATCGACGAGTCTCTACTACCGATTGTAAGGGTTTGGTTCCAAATAAGTCACCTTATTTATAGGTTAAAAAGTAAAATAAGTGATTTATTTTGTCAAACACCACTAATTTATAAGTCACCTCTGCTTATAAGTTTTAAGTTGGTTCACCCCTGCTTAAAACTTGTAAGTCACCCTTTTTCACGTGGGACCCATATCTTTAATAAGCTTATAAGTCATCTACAACCAGACAGCCATAACTTATAAGTCACTGGTTTTCAGTCACCTGACTTAATAAGTCACCTGACTTATGCAAACCAAACATGCCTTAAGAACCAGCAATGGATTGGAGGGATTGGGGAAGCAAGGAATCAGGGTAGGCAGCACGAAGAATTTGGGGGTAGGCAGTAGCCGGAAGAACGAGGACGGCTCACGGCCGAGCTCCAGAGTTTGTTTTAGGTTTTGGTTCTTACATGATGCTCTCCCTTTTCTCTCTTGTCTATTTCTATTGAGTCTGTCTACTCAACCACTATGTATTTTATATAGTTTCAACATATGAATTTTTTTATACCATAGAGTTAAGATCCAATAACCTCCATTCTTCTTCTATCTCCTCCAGATAATCACAAATCATAAAATCACAGATCCACAGATAAAAAAACAATTTTTTTTCTATACAAGGACAAGAGGACAAATCGCGTCCAGATCGGAGCGACTGACGGAACGCGCGTGCGCAGAACACAAGTGACTGATCGGAGCGAGGGAACGTGACTAAACGCGATGTGGATCGACGAACGCGTGATCGATCGGATTCGACGGAACGCAGCGATCGCGATCGCGATCGATCGGTCGACGGAACGCGATCGCGATCGCGACCGATCTCCGGTTACCCGAAGCAGCGCGCTTGCGACAGTTGAAAAGTGAGAGAGAAAATCTATGTGCTTTTTTATGCTAAAACACATGTGTTGTATATCATTTCTGATTTCTATTACATCAGACGAGCCACTCTGGGCCAGCGCTGCGGGTCCTACTCTTGTGCAAGTGGACGCGCCTTTAGCTTCGACATTGACTCTTGTGCAAGTGGGAGATTCTCGGGAAAAAAAAGCGGCGGCGGAGTAGAGCAGGCACGGGGTTTGGGGCCGCATGTAGAGGCCGTGGCGGCGGATCAGCAGTCTGTTCGGTTGGCTGATTCGTATAGTTGCCAGTTCGTTTATGTGAGAGAGAAGTACTACTGGCTGGTTCATATGAACAGTGTCCATGAGAGGGGGCTGGCCAGCCCCAGCCGAACACGCTGCAGGGTGGGCGTTCGGTTTGGGTTCGGTTCCCTCCGTTATCGATGAAATTCGGTTCCTAGACAATGGGAACTGATCGGTTCAAAAAAAATTTAGGAACTGAACATTTCGGTTCTCGGTTATTTTGGTTCGGTTCCGGTTCTAACTGAACTAATCGAATTTTTTCAGAAGACCTCAAGACAATAATAAATATACTTGTTCTAAGACAAATTTATGCAACACTATATTCATTTTTAATAATAATAATAATATATAAGAAAACAATAGCAATATAGTAACACAAATATATAGCAGTTCAAATATAAAACACTATACATAAACCAAATATAATCCTACAAAATACAAGTAAGTGAAGTATAATTCATGTAATTCGGTTCTTTTGGTTAACCGAGAGTAGAAACCGAATTTTCTTCGGTTATTTCGATTCGTCAATATCAGGAACCGAATTTTTCGGTTCCAGTTCTTTCGGTTTTGGTTCTGATTCTTTCGGTTTGGTTCTTGATTCTCGGTTAAATTTGCCCAGGGCTAGCGACGGAGGGATATGGCAGCGGCGTGCCACGTGGTGCAGACGGCGGCGTAGCAGAAATAGGTCAAGGAATTCCAGCTCGGCCTGGTCGCCTGTATGACGTTGAGGATGTCCGCCGGGAGATCCGACCAATTGACTACAAGGGCCTGTGGATCAACCATTGGTGGCAATGGTGATTCGGCGCTAGAAACAGGGGCAATTGGAAAGGTAATAATACGCTCTCCATGGCGCCCAGGAGGATTATGTATGTTGTAGACATTGGTGGCGGCCGCTAGCCATAATTTCCCTATCGGATTCGGGATTGGCTGAGCCGGACGCTAAGACGGCGAGACAAGATGAATCCGCGACGGATTGCTTGCGTCTGGTGCAACCAAAACTCAAGCCCAATCCTACAAAACACTAATGATCACGTACGAGAACTCGGACTTGCTAGCTCCGGAGGTCTGACTCGAGGCGCTAGCGTCGGACGGTACCTACTCAGTGAGCGAGCGAGCACCCCAGCGCGTCGGGCTTGCGGTCTAGCGCCCCAATAGTGGACTTGCACTGCCTCGGACGTTGCCCGCGCCACCTGCTGCTTCCCCACGCATCCCATGTGCAACCCCAGTGTACTTCTGAAACATTCAGATGCGCAACAGTTGCAACAAAGAAGATAGATGAAACACTTGCAAAAAAAAACAAATAAAAACACATGAAAACCACAAACACTTGCAGCAGACGTATGAAACACCTGAAACCACTTGAAAAAGAAGTTTGCAACATGCATGTATATGTAACATTCAGATCTACTTTCCAACATGCAGATGAAAATACTTGCAACATATGCCTGATATAGATAAAATATTTGAAACATACACTGGAAGCAACATGTGCAGCATCCCGATCTACTTTTCCAATATCACGATCTACTTTTGCAACACCGATACGAACCACTTGCAACATATATCTAGAATACCTAAAATATATGTTTGCAACATGCACTTTCAGTAAAACATCTCCTTGCTGCATGGGAATGGAGGCTCATCGGTGTGTAGAGTTCACCACTGTAGAGCTCGCTGGTGGCACGGAGCTCACCGCTCCGGTGCAGAAGGCCATGACAGGTCTGGTGGATAAGGTTGTGGTGGGTTGCTCTAGTGGAGAAGACGGACCACGCACGGGAGAAGGCCGTTGTGGTTAGGAGGCGCCATGGAGAGGGAGGAAAGACGGACAGCTGCGCTGGGGCACGGTGGAGATGCCGATCGACGGCCGACGACCCGACGCCGAGGTGACGCGGCGGAGTGCTGTCGCGGCGCTGCGGTGGAGAACCTTCTGGAGAGAACGAGTGGATGAGAAGCTTCTGGACAGGACGTACGAGTGGACAAGAGGATACGATTTGGGCCGTTGGGCTGGTGTCGCGGCCCGAACTACGGTGTCCGAACAATCAGACGGACTGGGTGTAAGCATGTCCGACCATAAAATAGGTGACCTCAGTTGCATCAACTGCGCCCAATCGCAACCAAGCTCTCTTGGTATATACAAAACTTGGGTGATCATTCTCCCGAGTAGTTTCTAATTTGAGGGCCAAATCACTCAGATTTCTTAATACCACAAATTGATGTGATACAACTGTATTCATCACACTAATTTTACACTTTAACCTTTCTGGAGTTATGAAAGAAGCCCTTGTGGCCATGTGGCGTCTTTGGGGCAGAAAAATTCGAGTAAGAAGGCTCAAATCACACGAGTGAGCTTTAACTTTATTTCCTGATAAAATATGGGAATTCAACTCAAAGTGAAGGGAGTACTCTAATTACAGGGTGCTCAAGTGAGATTACTATGATTAATGGCATCGTGAGAATCATGAGATACCATAGAAGATGTTAAAAAGTTTGTACAATTTTGTTTTAGACCCTTGGGTTGTTTTGTAATGAAGTCATTGTTTTTGTAATAAATAGTGCAATGTATCTTGTTAATGTTGCCACATGTATGAATAAACTAATCCTTATAAACATGTGATTTGCATTCGATTTTGTTTGTTAAAGCTGGGTGTGATATTCACTATCACCACACATTGCACCACTTGATCCACCGAAGCTATTATTGAATTGAAAACCAAGTGGACCATGACTGAAAATAAAAAAATCACCTTGAGGTTGTCAGGGAGGTTGAGTTTGGGCAGGAGGTGGAGGGGGAGCTTGAGCTTGGGCACGAGATGGAGGGTAAGTTCAAGCTTGGGCAAGATGTTTCTACGAAGGCTGAGCTCATGCTGGAACGCACCGACGAGGTTGAGCTCGACAAGAGATAGCCATAGGGGTTGAATTCATGCAAAAAGGCGCCAAGGAGGCCGAGCTTTGGTACGAAGGCACTTGGGAGGCCGCCGTCAGGGAGGGATCAGAGCCAAAGTGCTTAGGCGAGGATGCGTCAAGGGAGGTTGAGCTTGGGTACGCCATGGAGCTTGAGCTGACCAAAACCGAGGACGATGCCAAGGGGAGGTTGACCTTAGATGAACCGGATCTGAGGAAGGTGCCGAGGGGAGGTCGAGCTCGGACATACTAGATCCAGGAGGGCACCGAGGGAAGGTCGAGCACGGGTGGGCTGGCAATGAGATCTGGTGAGTGGATTAGTGCTCCGATGGCCGGACCTAGGGTTCCTCCTAGACTCTTTAATCCGCTAAAAAAAGTGGGGCGTGAGGCTGGGGAGGTGGGGGGCTCGAGTTAGGTATAGGCCAATGGTGGTGGAGGTGGTGCACGAGCGAGAAGAGAAAAGACATCCGTGTGGATGTGGGTGAAAAAGGAGAGAGACGAATAAAACATACAAAAAAGTAGGGCATGAGAACCCTAGGAATGAGGGTCTGAGGAGAAAAGTAGGGGGGGCTCCTTTTGGGTGCTCGAGTAGGAAGCATATTGCTGGGTTTTTTTTTATCCCTCATCCCCATACATCCAAAAATAATAAACCAGGGCTTTTTTTCTCTTCTTTTCCTCAAAGGGAATGCTCAACCCGAACTAGCCATTATTATTGATCATGCCATAGCCACCTTGATGTCACCAGTGTGTCCCTAAAGGCCTAAACCAGTGTGTCCCTGTTCGCTTGAACTTGTCAGTCTGGCTTATCAGCTACAGTGTTTTTCTCTCGCAACGAATCAGTGAACCGTACTTTCCAGTGTGACTTTTCAGCGAAGCGAACAGGGACATCTCTGTTCTAGAAAAGCAGTATTACTTGATTTATTATTGAAGTAGTGAGGCAAGAGGATCACACATATCTATCGATATATCTTATATATAAGCTATTCGATGGGAGTATAATCCTTATTTAATGAGTCATGTAGGTTTTTTTGATGACACAACTTTATTTTTTAAAGAAAAGAGAGAACACTTAGCTCGGTTTCCATCTCAAGATGAGTAAATATAATTAGACGGTATTGAGAGGTTATTAAACAATAGAATGAAACTTTTATATTTCATTGTGTTCTTACTAATGCAGAACACCCCCCCCACACACACACACACACACACACACACACGGGTGAGAATAAAAGGTCATTTAACTTGTATTCATCTTCAAGACTTCAACCAACCTATTGTCGTCAGTTAATTATTTTCTTATATCCATTGCACCATTAGTCTTCCCTTTAACCATCCATGCAATAATCGAATTAGCTGGTCTCATTCCTTGCAGGCAGAAAAGTCATTCGGTGTGAGAAAAATCAATAACCGTGCCATCCCATGTTCTCGACAAAATTAAGCCCCGAATGCCAGCTCAAGGACCAAACTGGTTCTATTAAAATTTGAGGAGCAATGTGAGCCAAATACATCTTATCATTTGGAGGGATGAAAATGATCACACAGGCCTAACCGACAACAGCACGACATAACCTAGATTTTGATGAGGATAAAAAAAACAAAATACAAAACAGCAGAGTAACAATTTGCACAGAGGAAACCCTACCATTGGAGCAAAACAAAACATCAAGCACACCAAACTAGTACCTAGTGGTAATACTTAGCCTCATGACAAAATTTTCATCTGCTACAAACAGAAAACATTGCCTATGTGCCTAATACAATAATCTATCAGCTGTCATAACTCATTATCAATGATGTTTCTGATCATATCCATAGGAATTAGCCCCTCAGTGCGTATGGCGTCTTTGTTTTGGTCTGGACTGAAGAAATAAAGCGTTGGAAGCCCTCTTACCTGAATGTTTCATTATTAGTGACTTTAATAATTGAAGTAAAAAATAGGAGAAACCTAAATAAGAATGTAATCAACACTTCGTTGGCTTGAATGAGTGTCATCTAGGGTGTACCTGCATGTCTTTTGCAAACTCATATTCATCATCTGTGTCCACCTTCACAAACAGAGCATTGTCCTCATACTCAACTGCAAGCTGCAATATATTGAAAGGACTGTTTAGAGATACTGCATGATGTATCAACATACGCAGAGCAATTAGATAATCTTCTTGCCCTAAGAAAAGGAGCACACATAGGTGCAAACAGCTCCAAGGTTCAACACATCAGCAATAATTAAACAGAATCCTCAAGTAATTCATTATGATTTAATGGAAACTAGAAATCCAAAAGTGGTTTTCATCAAGATTTTTTCTCCTTGGTCGTCTTTTCACATTATTTTGAAAAGACACGAAAGAAGAATTGCTAATTGCTAAGAATACCAATATTTGCTAGGGGAAGTCTTTTATTATTTTCAGAGATATATTTTTCTTTTTAGTTCATTTCAGAAGAAAATTCTAAACTGTCTAAATTACTCTTGGGAGGCCTTGTCAACTTGTCCAATACCAGACTACACCTGCTACCAAGCTGTCTAAATTCCTCTCAAATAATATACAGTCTGATATTAATCTAGACTAAGTTGCCCAATGGAGGTATTTAAATATAGTCAGAACCTTCACATATTGCTTAATCCAGCCGAACCTATGCACGGCATAGCTGCGTACCACATTCCTTTCCATTTCATCGCATAGCTTCTGCTGAAGGTGCCACTGACGGGCACACAGAACTCGTTTATACCACTGTTAGCATTGGTTGCAACTTCACAGACAGGCATTGTGTTGGCCAAGATAACATCAGTCACACAGGAACAAACAGAACCAAAGGATGGAAAACTGGCAGGGAGCGTGGCTCACCATCTCGATGTCCTGCGCCATCTGAACACAGGGCCCGCACCAGGTCGCGTAGAAGTCAACGATGAGCGGCACCTTCCTGTGCCCCCTCACCAGCTCCTGCACCTCCTCGGCCGACACCTTCCTCTGCAACCACGAACAATGCGAAGCACCGCTCAGACTCGAACTCACCGACTGCTGCCGAGGCGCAGAAAGATTTGCGATCCAGTGAACCGTGCTGCCTACCACGAGGTAGTCTGGCGCTATGTACTTGCCGGAGCCCGGCACGTAGGGAACCACCGTCTCCGCGGAGGCGTTCCGTCGAAGGGTTGGCGCGCGGCGGGTGTTCGTGCTGGCGCCTACGCCAACGAGGCTGCAGCCGCGGCAGCGGTCCCCGCGCGCGGGGGAGAGTGGAGCGGGGAGAAGAAGACGCCCAGGGGTCAGGGAGGGTGCACGGAGAAGGGAACCAGCAGCGCACGCCGACAAGAAGGCGGCGGCCGGAGCCATGGCGGAAACGGAGAGGCGCGGTGGAGGGTAGACAAATCCTATCCGGTAGCCTCCGTGGAAATGGTAGTACGGTACTGGGGTTTCACTTGCAGCTGAACCGCCGAGGCGACAAGTATGCCTTCTGCGAGTGGCTTTGTGTAAACCAACACTCTCTTTTGTAGAGATATTTGACAAGTCAAAAGGATTTTTTTTACACTTCACCTTTTGTGATAGTCATAACTGGTTTTTTTAACCCTCTAGACTTTTTAAACCATTTAATTTTACATTTTGAAGGGTTTGGATGACGATTTTGTCGTGTCAGGTCACCTACGAAGGGGATAAATCGAACTTCTTTGATATCTAAGGATTTAAATCAGACAATTATTTCTTTTGAATAATTTGTTCTCTGGAAAATTTATGCAATCAAATCCTAAATAATTTGTTATCTAGAAAATTTATGCAATAAAAAATCCTAAAATCTAGTTTAATCTTAAAAATCCATAGAAAAATCATTTTGACCTAAAAACTATGAAGCTAATTTCATAGTTTTTCTAAAATCATGTTGTATCTTATGGTGCCTAAATTAAAACTATTTGAGTCTTCTATGGACATACTTTGCTTTTTATTTACTAGTAGATGCTCTCATATGTATTATAATTAATCTACATCGATGACTTGGACTATGAAAAGCTTTAGGTGACTTTGATAAGAACACAAGTGTCGTGTAATGGTGTAGCCACATCATACTTGATCCTATTCAGGTCATGTTTAGTACAACAAAGTCCGATTTATCCCCTCGCAACTGATATGGCGTTATTGACGTGATGCCACGTTGCACAAAAACCGTCATCCAAATCTGCTCGTGATGCAAAAAAAAACATTTTTAAAAAGTAAGGGAGGCTAAAAATTTGATTTTATAATGAGAAAGGAAAATCAGGCTATCTCGAAAGTTGAGTGTCAGAAGTTCCACCTCACATAATTTGACAAATCGGGGTTTTTTTTCCTTCATTTTCTATATTTTCATCTTCTTTTCTTCTTGAAAGGACAAATCTGCCCTTACCTTATCCCATGCAACGATAGATTCCACATCAGACAAACCAGCGCTCATATGACAACAAGCAAACAGCCGAATTAAATTTTATTGTGAATATCAAAGTTACATGAATTTTTACATAGATGTTTTTACTATACTCGATCATTACTTTTCATGTTGTATAAAAATAGTTACGAAAATAACAAATGGATTGTCTGAAATAGACAGCCCAGTGTGTAAGTCTGTATTGCAATATATTTAAGATATTAATTTTCACAATGAAAAGGGGAAGATGGCGGTTTGAGTGTAGGGACGTAAAATTATTCTTTTGAATAGTATATACATGTGATCTTGAGTATTTTCAAATATTTATCTTTACTACGAAGTTTGCCTCCTAACTATTTTTAGGTGTGCATGTAAATGTTCTTTTCATCAGTGAAAAGGCAATAGTTTAGGGGTATGGCCAATGCTATGTTTATCCTCACTTTATTTTTTTAACAAAATAAAGTGCAATATGTCAAGAATGATATTATGGTTTTACCTTCATGGTTGCCTAATTATACCTTGCTGATGTCTTTATTTATTAGAGTTTATGTCTTTTATTGCTTTGAGACGTTGATTGCAGTTTAAGTTTAACGCACTTTATTTTTTTGAATAAAATAAAGTGCAATACGCCAAGAATGATATTATGGTTTTACCTTCATGGTTGCCTAATTATACCTTGCTGATGTCTTTATTTATTAGAGTTTATGTTTTATTGCTTTGAGATGTTGATTGCGGTTTAAGTTTAACGCACTTTTTGTCAATCAAGGAGTTATGCGTTGACGATCATTCATGGAGTTGCATGAGATGTTGGTATCATCCAACATCAAACTCTCAATTGGAGTTGCATCATGACATACATGCATTTTATATCATTTGGAGAATATGAAACCTTGGAGAGAATGGAAATATGGTTTATGGGCTATGTCCTAACACAGGGCATTTTATATCTCATTTTCTAATCAGATTCTGTACCTAACACAATATAACCATAAAAAAACATAGAATCTAATATTACAATTCCTGTAATTAGTATGCTTGGGCAGGTAAACACTTAAAATAAACAATTATGTTCAGTATCTAACATTATCACCTATGACGTTGACACATCGCTAATATGCCAAGTGAATTCCTGTGTACGAATGATCACGATGGCTGTTTGGTCCAGGCAAAAATGTGTACACGTGTACCACCAGGTTGACGGCAGAACTGTAAGTTTCCAGGCTGTTGCTAGCTGCTTTCTTTTCAGCCCTATTGTGCCAGTGCAGATACCGAGAGCTATACCATACAGGATATATCATAGTATATATATATATATATATATATATATATATATATATATATATATATATATATATATATATATATATATATATATATATATATATATGAGACCATAACAGGATATCACACGCTTCATCCAAATATATTCTTGATATACCTGCTTGACTGAAGTCTCAACTGAAAAAATCGAGTGCACCTCACTAAGACCCAGCAATTCAACTCTCCAACACATCACATCGCCCCTTTTCCTCTGACATGTGAGCATTCTTGAGAATCTCATACCAAGCTATCAACCATAGCTGACATTTTGCAGGATGCGATTCAAAAGAGACTAGTTCTTGGTGATTCAAGTCACCTCACCTGTCAGTTGAATTGCCCGGTGCGCCCACCACTATAAAATTTGTAGCATGGAGTTGAAGCTTCATCACCATTCCGGAAGGGCAGCACATCATCACCACTCTGACAGTATGGAGTCAGCATTCACTGGCAGCAAGACAAGGAAATAGATATGCGCCTTGCATGTTTCTTAAGTATGTTCGTTGATACATTACCCAGATGGTACTTAAATATCTGGCCTTTTGATTAGAAGTCACATGACCCTAAATGATTCAGTGATTTGAGCGTTGTGACTGAGGAGTTGACGGGTAGGATAACTCAGATTGTTCACCGCTGCGCAGTTTGGAACCATCACTCTACAGGAGACAAGTACAGCAGGATTTGAGGATTTTTTTTAGGGAAATCAAGATTGGAAATTGTGAAAAAAATAATTAACTAATACTGACAACAATAGCCTCAAGTATGCCAAACGACATGATTCCACCTGTTGTAATGTGTATGACAAGTGGATAATAAATGTCACCTGTGAAGCTTCAGACAGTTGCCCATGCTCCATTTGCCTGTTCCTTCCATCCTCCTGAAAATGGGATAATATCTCAGAACAAATGGCAGACAAGATATAGATAGGTTCTCTGCACATGCAGGCAGGGTTGCTCGTGAAGTTTTGAATTAGACAGCAAGAAATCCATGAACCAGCAAATTAGCTGCTTAGCTGACACAAGTTCAGTTCGCAAGCAAAATAACCAAGACAATAGCAAATCTGACATGAGATCCTGGTTCAGTGCCATGCTCAAATTCTCCTCGAAACTAGAAACATACATAACAAGCACTTGCTCAATCCAAGACTCATTTTTGCTTTGTCTGACTCTGTACTCTTGAAAAATCTACAACTACTCTGTAGCAGGTCAGCAGGCAGCCCCAACCAGCCCTATGGCAACTGGCAACTGGCACGGCAGCCAAACAACATATATGGTATTTGAAAATTATATGGTGCCCTGCCAACCTCTTTAGCTAAAATATCATGTTGCAATTTTCTAAAAATCATCACAAAAATCATGTATGTAGTACACCTAAAGTTAAGTGTAGCCACAACAATTCAGTTTGAAATCTATCTTCGATGTTGAGATTCAGAAAACACGTGTCACTGTCAGCACATGTTGAACAGTGCCAGGTTGATTGCTTGTCTACTTTGTTTCTTGACATCTATGATGAATTTTAAACTGGATTGTTGCAACTATACTTAACTTTATATGTCATACATGATTTTTGTGATGATTTTTTGAAACATTGCAACATGATATTTTACTTTAGCTAACGAGGGCACCAGCCCCACTGGGCTCCCTGTCCATTGTTGTCATGTCAGCCAATATGGACTTCAGGTGGGCAAATGTGGTCATCATCATGCGAGTGGTGATGATGATGATTATCTTGTAGGTATTGCTCCTTAGCACATTATCTCAGAAGCAGAGACGATCATGTCAGCACAAATTGCAAATGTCAGGGTGAGTTTGGAAAGCAACAAGAAAAAATGAGAGGTAGCTGGCTGAGGTCCCACACCCCATTGATGGTGCTGGACCGCACTTGAGCCAAACAGAATGCCAACAGCAAGGGGTCAGAGCCAAATAGAAGAGAGGCACAAGAAAAGAGAAGGGAGATCAAAGATAACTTCAAGACACTTGGAGGTACTAAGCTGACCGTATGAGTGCGCTGACTGATTCATACCAGTGTCACATGTTACGTACTAAGCTGGGAGAGGATGCCCTACATGACTCTTTCCTCAAGAATAGAGTTTAACTCATATAGTCAAATGTGCTCAAGATGAATAGAGTAATGCTACCTAACAAAATGGTCTACAAAAACTCTACTTATATGCTCTGCTAACATGAACTACCACCACCATGGTCAAATTCTCCCGATTGAGTTACACTGGTGAGACCGTTGAAGTCCAAGGGTCAATGAAACCCCTGTCAACCTGTCATGTGGGGCCGCGCATATGAGAGGAGAAGGCGCGCCCGTGATATCCGCAGGGCCACTGATGCGCCCAGGGACGCGGCCTCCATGCCGGCTGCCGCTGGAAATCAGGACAGTGGCTAGAGATATTTTAGGCAACTGTTAATTAGAGTTCCTTAGATGTAGGAGCAATTAGCTCAAGTTGGGTGGCCGGTTGGGCCTTTATATTCTCTGTACCGAGAACTATATCAAGGAAGCAAGTCATTTACCATCTAATCTATTCTCTTCTATTCTCATCAAGCCACCAGCAGAGGGGTAAAACCTCGCGGTGAAGCCTGGAGCGCGACTACGAGCTCCGTAGTCGCGGTCCTGCGTCGTTGGGTGCCGAGGCACTTGACACAACCAGTTCAAGTTTGAAAGGCTGGCACAAACTTCATAAAAACAAAATCAGGGGGATACCTCTCCCCCTGGACGAGTTTTTTTTTACCACCACCAACCACCAGAGGAAACCTCAATTGTTAAGTTCAAATCAGTGTGCACAATTGTTGTTGTCCATGTTAGCATGCAATGCAAGTCGAGTTTTTTGTAAAACATTTTTGCAGGTGTAGCATTACTCAGATGAATATTGGATTCTGATTCACTAGTGTAGCCAAGTAGTCATGAATTACAAGGAAAAATATCTTAAACAAGGGGTTTGGTTAAGTAGTTATCTCTGTAAAAAGGTCCATGAAAGTGAGTAGAGGACATCCATGGTATAAATATATAAACATAACAAAATCAAGAGTGGATATCCATTAGCTGAATAAACAAGATACTCTGTCCCATTTTCCATTTGACTCTCCCTCTCTCACCCTCTGGACAGAAGTTAGAATGGTTCATAAGAATTATAACCTAACTAAATAATGAATATATGCTGAACAAGTCCTCTCCTATGCATATCAACTTCGCTGTTCGCCTAAACGGCCGTTTAGCCCATTTACACACTGTTTAAACGCTACACGGTGGTACACCGTTTCCGTTTAATCATTTGTTTTGACCGTTTAAACGGTCGTTTTGCCCGTTTAAACACCTGTTTTGCCCGAATAATGGGCTAAACAGCAGGTGACCGACTATTTACCGTTTAGCGTTTAGGATAAAGTTTTTCCATACAGTGAAGAGCCAAAGTTTATACCTAAATTAGATATTTGATCACAATAAAACTTGATGTTTGATTTGATAAACTTTTTTATATGAAGCATCCTGAAGCACAACACCTTGAAGAAACGCAGGGGAGCTGGATTAACATAAAAGAATGACAAGAGAATTGAACTTTGGTGTTGAAATACTGCTGAAAATTTTAAAGTTCGAATTTGTTCAAACAAAATTAAAAGTTAGAGTACAGCATGGGCTATCACTCATGTTTATGCCCATACTTATTGTATTTCATCAGAATTTGGGTAAGTACCTGAGGATTTGACTTGTAAGTCTGATTCTTGGGCCCTTGTTGGTTTTGTTGCTGTTGCAAGTACTGTTGGATCTGTTGCTGCTGTCGCTGAAGAAGCATCATCTGCTGCTGTTGTTGCTGAAACAGTTGCTGCTGAACTGAGTCTTGCTGTTGCTGTGGCATCTGCAGTACATACTGTTGTTGTTGCATTAACTGCTGCTGAAAGAGCTGCTGTTGCTGAGCTTGCTGTTGTTGATACATCTGCTGCTGCTGTATAAGATACATTTGTTGTTGCTGCTGCTGCTGTTGCTGGAGATAAAGAAGCTGTTGTTGCTGCAACTGCTGGCTTTGTTGATCCATTTGAGGTGCTTGTTGCTGCTGTTTATTTTGGTCGTGTTTGGTATCCCCAGAAGGACACTGACCCTGTTTTTCGTCAGGAAGTTGCTGGACTGGCAGTGCCTGTTGTAGTACTACCTGTTGCTGCTGCTGCACTTGTTGCTGCCAAAGTACCATTTGCTGGTTCAGCTGTTGTACTTGCTGCATAAAATTTTGCTGAAGATGCTCAGTTGGAAGCTGTTGCTGTTGCAGACTCTGCATCTGTTGATTGTGCTGAGCCTGCAGGTAATACAGTTGTTGCTGGTAATATTGCCCCATTTGTGATGCATACCCTTGCATCGTTTGGAGATACTGTTGGTTTCCGTGATTGGATTGTGCAAATAATTGGTCGTGAATTTGTGCAGATGTTTGAACATTCTGAGCCATAGTACGCTCTTGCTGTTGCATGTTATGTGAAAGGTTATTAGATTGATGTGTTTGAGCATTCCCCAACTGGTGTCGAAGTTGAGCTTGAAAACCGACAGTATCCGATTTTGTTTTCGCTAAGTCCAAGCTCAAAGGTTTTGCACAGGCTGAGAGTTGATTTGACTGCGAAGATTGAATATGGTCTTGACTCCCATGACCAATGGCAGAGATTTCCTTATCACATTCAGTTGGATTTGGACCATCAAAAGACCTCTCTAGGTTTGCATTACTGACAGACAAATCATGCTCTGTGTCTACTTTTACCTGAACCTCCACATGTTGCCTTTCCTCCAGCTCTGGAGATATTCGAGCTGGACCAGAAGAATTTCCTTCATTGTGCATGTTTGATCCAGACGGCGAGTCATATTTTGAGAATACTGTTTCTAGATGGCTGCTTGCAGATACCTCAATGACCTTGCCCTCAGAATTGATGTTCTCAGAGCTAGCAATTGCTTTGGAAGGAGAATCACAGTCACCTGACTCAGCTACAGGAGCCTCCGCAGCACGAGAATTTGTTTTCTCATCATTTTGTTCATGCAACATTAGATCTTGATTACTCTCTTCTTTGGCATGTGAATTCATTTGCTTTTGCATTCCATTTTTGTCCAGGATATGTTCACTGTGAACCATGTCAGTGCATTCCTGAGCTGTCCTGATGGTCTCTTTATGTGAATTGACAATCTCTAAAGCTTTCTGCTCTCCTGCATCCCTATGTCCTTTTCCTGAATCCACAATGTCCTTATCCACTTGTGGTTCACTCTCTTTATCAACTATAAGAGAAAAATCATCAGTTTTGGGTGGCTGTTTCAGTTCGATTGTATCTTCTAAGGATTGATCACGAGCAACCATCAACGGTTCTGTTTTTCTCCTCTTGTTAGTGTCTTGAAGGCTATTCCCCATAGTAGAATAATGCCGTGAAATGTTCCCAGTGCTGTGAGGAAACAGTTTACTATGCCGAGCCCATGCCTTTCTGAGTTCTTTAATACCCCCATAGAGGTCAACAAACTGTGAGCAGGAAAACAAATGAGGCATGCAATATATCGTATACAGGAGACAATGTATTTTAGAGTTCCTGCTGTAACAGCTGCATGTTCCCTTAGCATGACCAGCGAAACAGAGCAAATTTTAAGCAAAGACTAAAATTATCTCTAGTTATTCCAGCATGACACTTAAGATTCACCTTTTTTAAAAAAACAACTATAATTGAGATTCAACAGAAATAAATGACAACAAGGGAACATCCCTTCCATTCAGAAAATAAAATAAGGGAATATCCATTAGCTAAGATGGATTGGTAGGTAAACAAGCCTAATCAACAATTTAGCACATGGCTCAACCAAATGCTTATTACTCCTCTAGTCCCCAAAAATATTTCTTCCACTTTTAGTGGTCAGCAATTTACATCACTCAACCTGTGAGCCACAACCAAGTCTCTTGGCCCCTTTTACTATCATTACTATTACCTCTTCTTGCATTTGTATCTAGCTTACCCCAACTTGCTTGGAACAAGAGGCAGAGAGCGCTCTCTATAGCAGGGTGGGTCAGGTACCCATGGCGAGGAGGAACGGACACCCCTCCCCCCTCCCCCCGACCCCACAATGCCTTGATGGACTGGTGGTATAGCCCAATTGATAGCCAGTAGGCCACAGCTCAACAGGTGCCATAACTTCCTCAGCCGCATCTCTCTTTCTCTCTGTGCAGCTCGCTACTCGCCCAACAAATACTGCCACGGTGTCCAACGATTTACTACATTTGAGATATATTATCCCATATAATACACACTAACTGATTTAGTTTTCACAAACAGGTAGGTTCTTTTAGCTATTGGATCTTGGTAATGTTGAATTAATGAATTATAGTAGGTGTTAAAGACACACACACACACAGTGGGGTGTGGGGTGTGAGTGGTAAAGGGTCCTTAACCCTTCTTTCTTCTTAATATAATGAAGCGCAGCTCTCCTACTTTTTTCGAGAAAAAAAATTGTGGTGTTAAAGACCATACCCTTTTTTATGGAAGGTGCCACCTTCAAACTTTAACTATGCCATTTATTAACCATTCGTACTCTTATCTGTGTGATTCAATAAGAATGTGGTATCTCGTGCATGAGCTTCCTTGACTGTTGCTTATACTGTGGTAGATCAGGCCTTGCTTTCAGCTTGGTTCTCATCCTTACAATTTTGCCCAAAGCAATTGACCTCGCCTCGTCGGCATGATCTTTTATACTATCTGCGGATGCATCCTCTTCACATGCTGATGCAGAGCAATTTCCTCCTAGAAGGTTTGAATCAGTGTTTAATGGAGGGACATTGAGTCCATTTGAACGCCTTTACCTTTTATACTACTCCCTCTGTACTGGAATATGAGGTATCCTAGAATTCATATTATGTGATAAACTAAATGATGCATGTAACCCTTCCTGGCTACCATATTTGGATTAATAATAGAAATAAATGGTAGGCATGCATGTGAATGCTTCATTTTTAAACTGAGTTGGAGGATTAATTCACCTAGAATCCCTTATAATTAGGGCAAACTTTGAACGCTTGGATACCTTATCATATGGAAGATTATATGGATGCTGAAAGTTCAACTTGCCCCTAATTGAATATTCAACTTGCCAAACTATAAAGGATAAAATAAAAACTTCTCACTTTAACCAACTATAATGAGACAGTACGAGTTAAATTTGTCATGTGTGCCCGCCCCACCTAAAATTTAGAGTGTGATCTACCACTGCTTGGAACTAATCAACTAAAAGGCTTTGTTGTAATTGTTGGCTTGTTGTGGACTTGCGGTTGCTTTAGTGGTCCTCTGCATACTAGACTTAAATACTTAATGTGGAAGATTATACATTATGAAAAAAAAAACTTCTAACAGACATGCAACTTTGATGTCCTCAATTAAATCTGTACATGTACAGGGAGTTTGATGTAAGAAAGATTTGGCTGTCTTTGTAAAAAAACACCAAAAATTTTATGACCAAGAGGAGAATAGGTAACTTAGTACTCCGAGAATGCTAGTTATGTGCAAAGGCGTTCATGGAAAGTAGCACAAACATTAAAAAAAAGATGACAACTATCATCAAAATCAAAATGAAGAATGCAATTCTGGCTGGAAATGATCAAACAAGGGTACACAAATATTTCTTTCTTAGATAATATAATCATTGAGTAGTGACAAGACAACCCAGTACTAGCCTTGATTCCTTTGTCCTGCCATTTGATAAGCAGGGAATTCCTATTCTGGTCCGAGGTCCCCAAACCAACCATTAAGATACTACAGGCTATAGCACAAGGCTATTTTTATTCAATATATATATATATATATATTTGAATCCCCAATGCCAACCACCACTATAAACAAAGAAAAAACATGCATAATTTATTGTTGACCGTCTAATGGACCACATCCATTGTCATTGCTCCTAGTTAGAGTTAATATCTACCTCTCAATAAATATTTGATGGGACGTGTTCAATTCAAAATACATGGTTGGTAAATTTCATGTGGAGAGAAAGCAAAACAAAAGATGACTTTAATTTAGTTATTAACCAATCAATTTAGAAATAAAATATCCAAATTATTTGTGTGAACTTTTCCATCATGTGTAACACAAGTGCGTTGTACCAGTACATATTGAAGAGGATCATATCCTGTGCACACCCCTATTTCATCCAAGTCACCATCTGATTGGTGATTGAAGTGAAGGAGCTGCACAAGTACATAGATGGCCATTTTGCAAACAGCAAATGCAACAGGTACTTGTACACCCCCTACTAAAGGAGCATGTGGGGAGGAAAATAATTGCTTAGCTATTGGAAACTCTCTAACCTCCAAAAACAACAATGAGATATCTTCACGGTCCTCTGTGCTTAAGGCTGTAGATACATCAGATCCTGGAGTCACGGCATTAGAAATAAGAGAATCAAGAAGAGGTATGTCTTTAGGCCCTCCATGTGTACTCATGAACTGTATGAATCCCTAATCAGAAAAATAATAAAATAAAAATTACTAAGGCTTCTTTATGTACAGGTAAAGGTAAATATTGTACAAACTGTACTCAATAAATTATGCACCTTAATCAATGGTTTACAGGGTGCACGATTTATTCCCTTGACAAAGACTTGTTTAGCCTCAATAATGCTATGACTTGCCTGTATTGAACAACATGTCAGCCTAAAACAAAAAAAGAAAAGGAAAACATAATAGTGTAACACAGACACTAGCAACGAAGAATATGTTAGATAAAAGATCAAAAGTTTCCTGTATCTTACCATAGAAGCAGAGACAGATTTTGTTACACACATTGATAATGCACATACAACAGAAAAATCAACAGTTTCTCACATCTTACTTTAGAAGTAGAGACAGAAATTGCTACAAACATTGTTCACACATATATATTAATCTAATTTCAGTCAACTGCAGATATGGGAATACATGTTTGACAAAGAATGAACAACCTACAAGCTGCACATTTCATTTCATGGACTTCAAGGATGTCTTTGCAGAGAGCATGTATAAGAACTGAAATGGGCATAGCATACTTGAAGTTCATGGCAAAGTACTTTGTTCTTACTGCATATATGAACTGAGCAAAATTGTTGTACAGGTCAGGAAGCAACTCTATGTTCTTCTTCTGCATTGCATCCTCAATTGCTATCTCATATATCTCAGAAGCTGCTTTAGTGTTTCCCTATGAACATTTAAACATTGTAAGAGGATAATCTTCTGGCAAAGGGTGCAAGATTATAAAAGATACAAAAGGGACGAAAATGTATTGGTGTATACCATTCGTTTTTCCATGTTGGCCAGCCTATTAATATTTGCATAAAACCCTGAAGTGAAGTAACTTCTTGCTTTAGTAAAAAGAGAGCGCGCAGCCGGTGCATCACCAATTTGCTCTTTAAACAACGCATAATACATGCAGAAAGTTGGAACTTCCTGCTTGGATGGAAATAAACAAAAGAGAATAAAATAAGAATGAGACTGGTATTGCTAGCAGAAAAGTGCATGTTCTAAATCTTTCCATCCATTAGGTTGTGAAACGCTTGTGACAAAATTCTAATGGTCCATGAATTGAATGAAAGCTTGACTCACGTGCCAAAAAGGGTACATAAAATCAGAAACTGTGCCAAGTCACAACAGGCATGACATATGACAGATTCGTATAAAGCATAATAATGTGAAAGCATTCGAGTAGAGGCTTGCAGAGTGATAGAGGTTCTCAATTCAAAGGAGAGGCAACGAACTTCAATATAGAAGAAAATCAATAAATCTATAATGGCTATCAGTCACCAATTCACCATACTGAGCAAGGAAGAGGAACGAATACAACTTTTAGGTGCAGCTATTTGGAACTGTGTCCCCTCATTAAAAAAAATAAAATATTTTCCAGCATTGTTGAGCATCAGAGTTGAGGGAAAGAGATGTATCAAAAGTGATTGTGTTCTTTGTTGGAACCATTCAATTCGCACCATGGAAGTGGATTAGGAAATCTGGGGTCCCATACAGTAATAAATTTCATATGGCTTGCTATCCTTAATCGTTGTTGGACTGCAATAGGTTGTCAGAGAAGGAATTGCCAAGCCCCACGGCATGCCCACTTTGTGATCAAACACCTGAAACCATTAACATCCCTGCAGATTTCCTGTGTGGTCGTGAGGGAAGTGTGTTACTGTTTTTCAGAAAATTGGACTGCTAGCTCCTATGGAACTGTAGCAGGATGTGGTGAGGATTGTGAGGTCTTTTATCTTATCCAGAATGTATATATGTTTACACAAAACAATTAATTAGTATACTATGATCAGTTATTTAGTATCTTACGTACTCCCTCAGTCACAAATAAATATGTTTTGAGTTGCTTTAAGTCAAATATCTAAACTTTGACAATCAATATTGTTTTACATATTGAAACTGAAGGTGCTCAGCACTCAGATTCAAATGACAATTATATCATCATACTAGCAATATTTGCTTGAGAAGCTGTTATGGTCAGTACCAAGAGTTAGTGAATGCATGTGTTAACATGAAATTTAATTAGTGCTCCCTCCGTTCCGTTTTACAGGGCGTTACAAGGGTATTTACAGATACCAAGACGTTCGTCCATCACGCATGCAAACATATTAACTCGCGTAATTATCCGCACCGCTGGCCATGAAGTCTGTCCATCATTCCGTTTCTTGCGCAGTACTCAGCCTGTGTTTGTAAATTCTTCCCTGGCTCTTCCACCAAATCAATTCGTTCCGAGAGCATCCGGCACTTCGGTGCTAGGCGCCCATGCATGCATGTGACGCTTCAGCTGTCTTGAGCAATTACCTGCCTCCTCGATACTTCAGCCAGCCTAGTAATATGGCCAAAAGAAAAAAAATGCGAAAGTGCCCTGTATAATGGAATAGAGGGAGTAGACTGGACTCGAAAAGTAGTATCATGATACTATAGAGATATATTACACTAGAAATTAGTGATCAAAAGTCACAGTTCTTAAGACCGTTCCTATACCAAAAAGATTAATTTTGGCAACAAAAGGATTATGAATCATATCAGTTATCATATAGATTGAAATATTGCTAAGAGTTTTGTATCTATATAAAGAAGTTATCTAGTCTCTCCCTCCTTAACCATGCCTCAAAGCCACTGCCACAAAGAGGAGCTCTGTGCCCCTGCCAGTAGTAAGATTGAGAGCAGGTATTGTACCCTTCGTCCTTAGATCCATATCCAACTATGCACATAACACACAAGAACATAGGGTCCTTACACAATCTCAAAACTATGGGAAGATGTAAAATGCCAAGTATGTTACCAAGTGATACCTTTACAAAACATGATGATGCTCGACCCAGAGCATGGTTTGCAATTTCTCGGCCGCCTTTAGCATCGACATACTCTGAGTAGCGGATCCAAAACTCCGAATAATTAGCACAAGGGATCAAGCACCTCTCATAAAGTTTTACAGCCTGCACAAATGAAAGGCAAGGACATGAAGTAATCAGATTCCCGAATAGAATATATGAAGCTAGCAAAAAATACTAAAAAAATACTAAAAAAAATACCCAGTCAAAATCCCCATTCTTCTCAACAAAGTCAAGATACTGGTGCCAGTTTTCAAGCTGATCATCATCAAGTGGATTGACATGAAAAAAAGGCCTTTTTATGGATGCCTCAAAGTAACAGATTTCTTTGTAAATCTTGCTGGACGTTTTGTAGAGCCTCTCCCCAGCAGATAAGTAATGCTTCAAAGCTTCAGGACTAAGATGCCCACCTTTTTGGTCAAATAAGTCAGCAATAATAGTTGATATATCCAACTCAGAATCTTCAGTGCCTATCATTTCAGAAGCATGCATTTCTTCTGATAAAATTTCAGCAACACAACTTGTCACCTCTTGTTCCAATAATGTTACAAACTTTCTAAAACTGGCACATTTACAATCCCAAGAAAGAAAGAAAAGAGGTCTATTAGTAAGACAAAAAATAATTCAATAAATTAAGAAACTTTGATGCGTGAAGGAATGGACAGTTCTAGTATCAACATCTCCTAGTTATCCAAAGCAATTCTTAATATGCAACTTAAGGGCCTGCATAAATCTCTTGGCAATCCTATTAGATGTATTTTAACCTTGATCGGTAAGGTCAGCGTTTTGCTATGGTCTGCAAAAGATTTCATTTGAGTTGAAGTACAAGAATTAGATTTCTCGAACATCCTAGCATATTCTTTTGTAAGTAGTAACTGGAGGTTAGCTATTTGTCATTGTCTCCACATATCAAGAGGAGGTGGCAGTTTAATGTCAGCTCTGCATTGACTAACTCAAAAAACAATTTACTATTATATAACCAGGTCGTCAATCACATTGATAATATGATTCAGGATCGGAGTTTAACAGAAAAGAAGTTATATTTTATCATTTACCATTAGTATGAAGAGTAAAAGAGCAGCATAACAACTAACAAGAGCAGCAGCAAAACCCTCCATACTCATAAGTAAAAATAATAGGGAGAACAGCCCAATTGCAGTACCATAATTCCTAAAGTGCAAATGTTAAATCAATGTGATATCATATGAGGATATACCTTTCATAATACATGTGCAACTTCTTTGTGGGAAATTTCAGTGTGTTGATAAAAATGGTGGCAAGCTGAACCAGCTGCTTCTGAGAGGTTTCAAATTCTATATACATGTCCCACAGGTGATAACACAAATAGTCCTTTCCAACAAGAGATAAAGCCCTCTCGAATAAACTGGCATGTATGAAGAGGTATTAGTACGAGATATGCACAAGTTACACATGATAAAACTTGAGAGTAAGTTGACCCTATCAGAAAAGGGTCATTATATCAAAACAATCAAGGGATGCTTATTCAACATTTTGCACATTTATAATTTGATGAAGGCAACATCCATATTGAATTCTGAGATGTCATGTGTATCCATTTAAACAGAATCCTTCCATTTCACATTCCAGGTTAATTCTAAAAGAGAATGTTGTCACAAATTCAGTATAATCCAATTTCACGACATATGAAAAATTTATCAGGTTATGATGCTTATAATATAAGTATATATTTTAATGAGGGTACCAGGCTACCAGCAATACGTTGTTTCTCTTCCCGAGGTCTTCACTTCTTTTATCATCATGCTCAAAGCCTCTCTAGTCTGATCTGATACCCGTATTGAAAATTTACTCCATATAAGAAAATGCTCATCTTTTTCTAGTAATTATTTGTCAAATCAATGTTCTTTCAGCCCTAATCTTTCAATTCTATCTACTAGGTAGAAGTTAGGAATTAATAATAAAAAAAATATCCATTATAGCTGAACAAATTCTCAATTTGTGGCATTCAAAACATACAAGCTAACATGAAATGTTAAGAATTGCACATAAAGATCAAAATGGGCAAAGGAAGAAAATGGTAAGACTAAGGAGAATGGAAATTTTCGCATCAGTGTAAATAAGAAGAAAAATTGATTCCAAACACAGATCAAACTGATGTTTCCTTCACCTTCTGATATGAGCAGGTTCTTCAAATGCACATATACCAAACCCACAGTAACTGACCCAAATATCAACAGAATGAGGTACAGCGTGGACAGCTTGTTCATAAACATCCACTACATATCTGGTTGTGCATAGTCGTGCCTTGTGAGCTGCATACTTGATCCAGTAACCATAGCACAAAGGAAATTCCAACAAGAAGCTATGGTATACCAAGCTTATAACTTCTATGTCATCCTGAAAGAACATTATCATCAGAAACCAGATGAATGTTTGTAACATACATTGGCACAGCATTCAAAACCATTGAAAGGACTCAAAGAAGACACATCAGTCTATCAATCTCTGTATGTGGTCATGGGACCTCACATGAGGAAAAAAAAGAGAGGCAGTAGCAAAGTATGAAAATAAATTAAATAAAACACTAAGAAAGATTCCACTTACTGCTGATGTTCCCTCTGCAGCATTTATTAATGATACCCAAGCATCAAAATCTCCCGTGTTGCTATCACATAATAATCGAACTCTGGTCTTGAAAAAATCTGGTAGAGAAGCAAACAGTCATGTTCAATGCATTGTTCAGATACAACTCCAGTACCAACTGTCAGCAGATGAGCAGAGACAAAAGATTCCACCTAATCACATGAAATGAGCTTCATTTTATACTTGTCAGTGAAAATACCTTGTTGTTGCTACTCAAAAAAAGAATTAGCAAAGAACCCACTGGACGAAGTACTAGACAAACTAACAAAACCCTAAAACCTACTTAAAGAGTTCACAGTGATGAGGTCAATTAGACATGATCTCCATTTAACATGTAGGTATCAGCACTTGCTGAATTCTTAACCAAGACACACAAAGTGGTACAAAACGACCTACTACTACTAGATAGGGACTGACACTCCTCCCAAACAGGTTTAGTACCATAATCCCAAAATCAGCGTTAACGTAGCTCAGACCACACTTTAAAACCTGGAAACCTTTACCTGAATCCCTGAATTAAAAAGGAGCTGGGTTTTAAGGATCCTTCAATTTAGTTGAAATCCGCAACAAATTTAACTAACGCAAATCCCTCGAAAGGGAAAGGGAAAGGGAAACACGGGATCTGCTCACCGAGCTGCGACGATGGGAGCTCAGGCGCCGCGGCGTCCGACGCGAGGGCCATGGCATCGGCCTCCGGCTCCATCTCCACCTCCGGTGGCGCCAACGTGGCCGTCGCTGGCAGGGCCGCGGTATTGGGTTCGTGTCTTGCCCAAGTCCGTAACGGTTGCTCTCCTCTCCCTGTGGTGTAGACTATGGACCTGCGTTTCCTCCATTTCCATCAGCGAGCCAGCAGAAATACCTGCAGGTTCCGAAGTACGCGGAGTCCGTCGTCCAAAACTCCAAAAATAAGTCTCTATCTCAGTTTTTGATGAGTCATCTGATCTCAATTTTAAGTAGATTTATAAAAATAATATCAAAATTTACATCTTCAAATAAATTTACTTTAAAAATATCTGACATAATTAACCTAATAATGTTTATCCAGTATCATAAATATTAATGTTTTTATATATTTAGTTAAAGTTAAAATTATTTGGCTTCTCGAAATATGAGAGAGTGACTTATTTTGGAACACAGTAAGTACATCTAAGATGTTTAGTAGAAAAACAAGAAGTGGCATGAAATATTTGAGACAAACAAAATGGTATCTTTTTAGGATTAAGTTCACTTTTGGCCCATCAACTATTATGTTGGTCTAATTTTAATTATTAACTATAAAATTGTCTAGTATCGGTACCCCAACTGTTAAAAATCGTTCACTTTTAGCACCTGGGTGGGGTAAGACTGTTTTGATCGACGTTGAGCGATTTTGACCACGCCACGTTGTTCGGCTTTTGGTGGTGTGTATGTGTGTGTGGACCCAGAGAGATGGATGGATATGTGGCTACCGTGACTTGCTGGTAGGAAGCAAAATAAAATAACAGAGAGAGGGGAGCAGAGGCATGGTCGTCGTGCTCCGAAGGCTTGTCCGCCATGGACATCCTGCGATTCCGGCCACCATTCATGAATCCAAGAGCATGGGAGGGAGAGGAGGATGAGGGGGTTCATGTAGGCTTATCATCTCGGCTGCTGGCTGCTTGAGGGAGGAGATCGACGAGGGCAGTATGCTTGCTAAGCAACAGAGAGACCAAGCAGCGTGAAGCTTGGGGTGGATGGGCGAGCTCTGGGTGATGGAGAGCACCACGGCGAGGCACCACAGTGGTTGGCGAGCTTGGCGGGCCCCGAGCGCTCAACGCCTCGGCATGCATGGCTGCTGCAGAGCGCGTACATCGAAGGACGTCTGGCACGCGTGGCACAGCTGACGCCAAAGTGGTGTGGCGTGCGACGACAACGGTGGCTCAGAGCATAGCAACGGTGGGGCTGGGCCGATGGGCCCGCATGGCCATGGCTCGTCGACAACCGCCACAGTGTCTTCGCTCATGTCGCCGCGCCCGCTCGCGTGTTGTCTAGCCTTTCGCGCCACCGCCGCCACGCTCACGCATGCCGCCGCCGCCGCCACGCCGCGCCGCTTCGCTCATGCCATGCCGCCAGAGCACCGCCGCGCAGCCTACCCTAATCACGCCGCGCTTGCGGCACCGCTTTTGCCGAGCATCGTCGCTTCGCCGCTTTCGTGTGCCGCCATCGCAACTTGGCATCGTCGCCTTGCTCGCGTGCCCGCGCGTCCCAATCATGCTTGCTCGCCGGCCATGGCGCGGCCGCCTGCTCGTCCGATGGCCCTCGCGCGTGAGCCCAACGGCGGCTTAGCTGGCCCGACGCGGCAGCCCCGTGCGCTCGCTCGGTGGCGGCGAACGAGTGCAAGGGGAGCAGCGGCCACAGTGGCGCAGCTAGTGGTGCTCGAGCTCGGCGGCCATGGCGCAGCCGCTTGCTCTTCCGGTGGTGGAGCAGCGTGCACGCACGAGCCCGACAACGGCTCGACTAGAGCTGCGCCTCACTGTCTCATCACCATCAGGAGCTACGCCTCACTGTCTCGACTGGAGCTGCACCGCACTGCTTGTCCGAATGCTGCTGGAGCTAGAGGAAGGAGAAGGAGGGAATGAGTGGGTGGCGCGCGGGCCCCACATGTCGTTGAGATGCGTAGGTCATCGTCCTAAGTGACAGTCAACGCTAGCGTGGCGTGGTCAAAACCGCTCAACGTCAGTCAAAACAGCCTTGCCCCGCCCAGGTGCTAAAAGTGAACGGTTTTGACAGTTGGGTACCGGTAATAGACAGTTTTATAGTTGAGGGTTAAAATTAGACTAATACAATAGTTGAGGGACCAAACGTGGACTTAATCCATCTTTTTATTATAGTGTAGCCTCCACGTGCAGCACCCAAATCTAACTAAATCCACTTAACAAACTCCAGATCTGAGTTCTTCTCATAAAAATCTATCGATTCATGGGTTCGTGACGCATGTTCATCGCTAGAAGAGCTTAGAATGGATGGGGGAAGATGGAGTTGGAGTGGCCATTTCTCCCACCGCCGCCACAGCCACCGCCGGTGACCTTGGCCGTCACTCTACCCCCCACAAGTGCCTCCACCGTCGCCTTCATCGCCCCTCATGCGGCCTCATGTACTCTCGCTCTCTTGGTCGAGGCAGCTCTGTTCTCTTAGTGAGTCGGTCATGGTCCGTCACTCTCTGAGACAATCGTCGTCTGCTGTCACCCGTTGTGCATACTACTGCTTGTACCACTATTGAAAGGACCTTGATATTGCCTAGAGAGAGGTGAATAGACGTTTATAAAATTTAACAACAAACAAAACTTCACAGTGAATTAACAGTGCCGAACTTCCGCGCAATTCTGCGGAACTTCCACACAATCTCACAAAACTTTAGCTCAACATAGAATAATATGAAGTTCACCACGCCTATAGAGACCAGGCTTAAACGAAACATGTAGATGTGTTTGGAGATGTCTACCGGCAAATCCACGAAGTAACTTGACTCAACCACTTACAAACACATACAACCAGGAGATCGAGTGGAAAGCAAATATTGCAATTCAAAAACACAAGAGTGACAAAATATTTGTTTCACCAAGTTCGGGTTCCCACTTGAACCTTACATCTTCATCTCCTAGTTCACAATTTACGAATTTTATAAATCTTAACTTTTGACCTCTTTGTGAGTTGTTGTAGGTAAAGAAAGGACTAGAGACATAATATGGATCTTGGATGAGCATAAGAGCTCTAGTTCACCACAAGTCATCAAGAAAAGGAAACTATGGCAATCCAAATCATTAAAGTTCACTTATGATGATCATATCAATGAAAATTTATGTGGTGATCTATCTACCATGGTGGTGGTATATATTCTTGGGAATAATTTTAATTGTTGCAAATTTGTTATGCCTTGACCGGATGAACCCCTCTAGACTCTTAATTGAACCAAGTGCATGTTATAAGTAATTCGAGTACTTGATGCACATATTAAGGGGAGCTTATTCTATGTCTTGCGTCTTTGAGACTAACCTTTTTCTTTTAGTGAATTTGTGTAGTCTCTTGGTAATAATGAATTTCTCTTGGGTATGCTACACTAACTCAATCCAAATAGGTGACATCATGAGATATAAAAATATAATTTAATTGGGGTCAAATTGTGAAGATCATATTTCAACTGTATTGGTGCTTGGTGGACTATATATCTCTCTCATTTGATATATCAAGAAGTATATTCTCAATTAGTATCTCAAAATGGCAACAAAGCTAGCAATGGACTTTCAATTGAGATCAAGCACAAGGTTAGGATACCTTCGTGAAGGTCATGATAAAGAGAGAGATGGGCATATATGACATGGTTTTGCTTGAAGAAGTGATAAACCCATCAACACTAAATACAACTAATGAACATCATGATCATGATGGAGATTATGAGTGTCAATCGGACCAAAAGCTACGGCAAATAAGGCCCATGAAGGCTAAGTAGATCAATCGACTTGAAGATCAAGGCATATCAAGAATATCCAAAGCCGTCATATCTGGACAATAGTATAGGATCAATCTAATACGCATTCCATGTAACAAACTAGGAATCCAATCTGTTAGCCGATCATCCTCATTGTAACCCTACCCTCCCTAAGCTATATAAAGGGGAGTAGGGCCTCGCGATCGAGATCCAATCCCATTTACTTCATTCTAGCGCATAGCTAGGAGGAGCAATAGCCCATGTAACCGGAGCATACGAATACAAGAATAGCAGCATCACCCCCAACTGGACTAGGGCACCCCATGTGCTTGAACCAGTATAAATTTTATGTCTCGTGTGTTACCATCTGATTCATCTTACGTGAGTAGCTACTAGGTATTGCTGGAGCTAATTCTTCCAACAATAAGGCTTAGAACAAAGGTACATCTCTCCATGAACTCTTGTATTACCTTTGTGCACCTAGGCCCTAACATGCTAGTGTGTGCATGTGTATGTAATGTCTTGAGTCACACCATGAGTTTGTTCTTTTGGTGACAATTAGAGGTATAGTTAGATATTTAGTTGATACCTCTTATCGTGATAGCATGAGTTTGTCTCATGTTAAAAGTGACACCTAAGTGAGGTATGAGCTAAATGTGCTAACTTCTCAAGAATCTTTACTTTAATTAAGTTGTTGTCAGTTTTGATAAATAAAAAATATTTGTATATAATTTTTCTAATTAATTTTTTATGTGTTGCTTTGATGCTAACTGCATTGTTTCATTCAAAAATAAATTATAAAATTTGATCACGGTCTGAATAGGTTTCTCATAATTTAAAATACGTCTCGAAAACAACTTTCAAGAAAGAGAGGGCCAAATTTGATTTACAAAAATCAAAGATTTAATTTAAAAATAAATTATAAATATTATTGCAAAAATATATTTTAAGTTGGGGTAGTTTTTTTTCAAAATTCCAAAAGAATTTGGTAAAGGATTGCAAAACAATAAAATATGTAGCCTCCCACTCTTGTCTCTCTGAAGACCTAGCCCAAAATTCCACTTTCCCTCCTTCTCTTTCTTTGTTTTTTGCATACAACAACTCCACCCATGGGCCGAGCCCACTCACTATCTAGTACCCAATCTTCTCCCTTCCACTTCCTAGGGCACAACCAGTTAATTAGCCAACCAAAACCAAAGCAACCCTCTCTCGGCTGCTAATAGTGAGCGACTACCTCATTGTGCCACCTTCTCCTTCCT